CAAGTCTAGGTTACATGTATTTGAGATGCTTAAGCCATAGTTACCATTCTCTTGATCAATGTAACAGCAGGCAGACCAGGCTGTAAAAAAATTATCTTGAGCCTGAAATAATCCATGTTTAACCCAGCAGAACACTCATTCAGAGACTTTTGCAAGGGTTGGGCAAGATCTAGCTATAACTTTTTACTTACTTCAGTAAGTATCTAAAAGCATATTTTTTATTTTTACAGTGCTGCTTTTAGTTCTAGAATTTGCTTTTATTTTTTGTTCATATGAATGCTTGAGAATAGGCTTCCTTCTCAATTCACATAGTAGTCTTGTCTTGTTATGGGAAGAAGAACAAAGGAAATCTCAGTGTTTTGACTGTAGTACTGTGGAATATAATTATCATCCTTATTATTGTTACTATCATCATTATTGTGTGTCCTTTTTGGTGCTTTGGGCTACCATGTGGCAGGGACTTTAGAGATGGCTTCAGGAAATTACTTCAGGGAAGTCCTCAGCATCAGCAGTACTTCTTAAATGTGAAACAACTGCTTTTCTTTCTTTGACTGTTGCAACAATCAATTTGCATACTTGCTTCTGAAATTTTGGCCATTATAATATTCCAGATTTTGAGCTGAAATCCTTGTTGGTGTTAAGCCTTTGTCTATACTTAAATCATAGGGCACATATCTATTAAACTTTTCTGCCTTACGGAGAAGAGGTAGTGCATCCATATTAAAGTCTTTGTGTAGCTGTTACAAAAGTTGTTGTGATACCAGCACATGAGTTTGTATGCCTTGACTTTCATCTATGTATTACACTTTGCTGACAATCTCCATTAATGCCAGACCATCTAATGATTAAGGAATGAGGAACCAGAAAGATAGATGTTAGTTCAGACAAGAAAGCTTTTTGAGGTTTGTTTGGTTTTTTTGCAGTGATAGTGGAGATGCTTTTGTTTGCTTATACACTACTACAGTAGACAATGCAGGGGAACTTCTTAAGAAAGCATCTGAATTCCTTATTGATGCTGTGCTCCCATAACAATATGTGTGCCTAAGGCCTTTCGGCTGACTAGGAGGCTGCAGTTGGTTGTAGCAAGAGATGATGTGGGTACACACTTCTGGCTGGGTATTATTACGTCTTTGGGCACAAAGACATCTACCCACAGGAAAATCCAGCTGTTATGTGGGCTACCAGAAGCTCATCACAGCTGTCCTGTTTCCTAAATTGGTTCGTCATAGAGCACCAGAGAAAATGTCTATTTCTGTAATGTTATTTTGGTTGTAAAATACTTCGGCCCAGGCAAAACATGGTACTCTTTACAACAGGCATATAGGAAACAACTGGGAGATGTGAAGTTAGAGAACAAATCTCTGAGAAAACTGCTATGGATTTCACTCCACTCAAAAGGGCTAAATGTATGAATTTGCCTTCACTGCAATCAAATAACGCAACGTGTTATGTCTGTGGAGGTCAAATGCAAATTTGACAAAACCAACAAACATCTTTGGACATTGGAAGAAAATGCTGAACTTAATTTTTTAATGTTTGTGGATTCACTAGTGCCATCCACTGGCATCCTGAACTTCTGAGATTTCCATCAAGTCGTATAGAAATTTGAATTAAGTAGGAAGAGTAAGTTAGAATCAAAAGGTGCTCTTGAATTGTAACTGATTCACACAATTTTGTTGTCAAAAAATGCTGATTTCATTATTGTTATTTATCTTTCCTGCAGTAAAGCAGCTAGTAGATACAGTGGAACGAAAGTGAGCACTTACGGAGAGCAGGGACCCCTATGATAACTCTGCCCATTTTAGTGAAGCATAAGATAAGCTAATAGGTATCATGAAGAAGAAAGTGTATTTAAAATTTCAAAGTTAACTTTATAGACTTTAGTTAAAAGTGGGACTGGCTTACTGAAATTTGCACAGCTTCCAATCTCATTACTATGTCAGGCAGTTCTTCAGTGAGTTTTTTTCAGATTGCATTTTATAGTCTTTCCTAAGAGAAAAGAATGCATTGTTGCAGGAGTGAAGTGAATCTTTTGGGGTAGACCAGCTTTTGTTAAATCTAATTGAAAATGCTAATCTGATCTTCATATCTGTGCATTTCTGTACTAAGCGTGAATGTTTACCTCTTCAAATAAAACATTTATCAAGCTGTAAAAAGCTTTGCCTTCAAAGACAAGTGCTAGGCAAGTGAAATGGACAAAATACAGAAACTTGGATGTGTTGTTAAAGAAAATCTTTGCTTTTTGCATGTATTTGGAGTCAAAGTTAAATATACTGATCTGAAATAAGGACAAGGTTTACCTAAGCCTTGATTACTTCTTTTAATTGTTAGTATAAAGTCTTAAAATTCTGGGGATCAGTCGTAGTAGCTGGAGAAGGTGAAGAAAAAGATGGTATTCTGAAAAAGCCTGAGTATTGTTTTTCTCTAAAAATATGTTTAAGTCTCTGTTGGTTTTTTCATTCTGTTTTTCTTTTGGAGATGAGTGTTCGTGGTTCGTTTGGCTTTTCGTTTTTTTTTGTCCTGGCCAAATGAGAATATGCATAGAAGCAAGAAGCAGAAGTAGTTGAATCCTTAGCAAAGTGATGAAAAATGTATTGTCTGAAATGTAGTGCTGATGAAATAATGGATTTTTCTTCAGCTTCTATGTTTAATTGTATTTTTCTGAATTTCTTGCTCAATGTATTTTTAACAATAGAGTTTAAATTACTAAAATAAAATGTTGATGAAATCAGTGTGGGGATGTAGACATTTACAGTTTTCTAAATCCATTTTTCTGGATTTTTTTGCTGAATTTTGTTTTGCAAGATACACAGATTTGCTGATTTGTGGATCACACTGACTTTGTTTTACAGTGAATAGTGGAGAGCAAAGGAGAAGGGATTGGAAGAGGAGCTCAAAGTGCCTATGTATTTACAATATTAAGCGGAATGAAAGTGCTGTTAAAAATTTGTATTTCATCTTTTTATATTGAGTAATTAGACTTGTGTTTGAAATTATTTATTTATATAAATTAGAGAGTGCTCTTTTGATATTCTGCTCTTAAGAGCTTCATTTGGAAGGCAAACAATTACATTATGATAAATGGTATATTGATGGGTTCTAGTCCCAGATTCTCATCCTGCTGCTAGTTTTACAAGCACTCAGATCTTTTTTTACTGGCGTGAAAAGTTTTGCAGACTCAGTCTTAATTACAGTGAATACAAGTCATTACTTTGAGAACACCTTTTTTTAAAAATAATATTAGAAATCTGCAAAATTTCAAATAAAATACCTGGTAGTTTTTATCTAATATGTCTAAAATAATTTGCTTAACATCAGTGAGTATTAAGTTACATTGTCAGCTTCTCAATTGTCTTTCTATTTGTTTGACATAAGCATAATTTTTTTCGTTTGCAGTTTTGTGAAATGGTTTCAAATGTAGCATTTATACAGAGTCAAACACAGTTTTGCACTGCAAGAGTTAAATATCCATGCTGGGGGTTACATTTAAAATAGAACCATTTGAGGTACTTAACTGCATGAATCAAATACAAATTAATCCCAGTTCTGTAATTCACAATGCTAAATTCACAGCTAAATTATTTCTTACTTCATTGTGTCATCTCTAATTGCAGCATGGTGATTTGCTATGTTGTACTATTTAAAATCAAACTGAAGCTTGTAGTCTCCATGTTTGTTGTATGTGAGATCTACTGACAGCAACTATTTATTTTAAGCCTAAGAGTATTACATACTCATTTTGAAAAGAGTATAAGTGAAAATCCTGGAAAATACTTACAAGTACACCTTTTATTTTGTGTGAAAACACCCTGAAAGTTGTGCAGCTCTTGGTTTTATGGTGGATGTTCTCAAATAACCATGACTTCATAATAGAGAGAAGTAAATCACAGCACTTACTAGCAGGTGTATTTTGGGGCAGGAGTGAAAGTAGATTCTGTATTTGAGGTTTCCATAATCACTTTACTTCCAGTTGGTTTAAATTGAAATTTTCAAATTTTAGCCTCTCACTTGAAGTATTTGCATATGCGCAGGCGGCGAGGCTAGAGGGGGATTTTGGCTGCCTTTGAGTATAGAATTGGGAGTGGTGCTTTTTCCCCTCTCTGTCTTATCTGTACTGTGCCTATATATAAACTTGTGTGCACTCCCTCAAAATGATTACAGAAAGATAAGTAATAACTCCTGTGCCACAGTGCTGGCATGCTAAACTTTGTTTTTTTTCTTCTGTGGATACATTTACAAGCTACTGATTCAATGAGGGGCCAAAGGGCTTATTCTTAGTATGAGCTGAAAGTAATGGTGCCTGTTCACATGTGCTGCTTTCTTTGTGCTTGCAGAAGTACTGGTGTGATTCTGCCATTCTCTAAACAAGGTCTCATGGAAAATCAGTGTTTTTTCTGCATGTCTGCTCCCTAAAATAGCTCGTACTGGCGTTAAAATAAATTACAGACCTGGCCAGGTTAGGACTGCACTTTGCAATGACAATTGACTGATACCTTGTGTCAACTTTAATGAAAAGCCGTAAAACTGAATTTAGTTAAATACAGCACTTAACAGGTGTTCTTTGCTTAAGTGTGAGTCTCAAAACTACAGCTGTTACTGTGCTTTTTTACTTTTCAATTTTTCTTCATATGGTTCTTGTTCATTAAAAAAAAATTGAAAACTTTACACTGATATTATAATACAGATGCAATTTTGAATGAGACAAGTAAAGCAATTAGAGATGTTTCATGTGGTTGTCATAACACAGGCAGTTGAGTTGTATTTATACAGTGTCCACTAGTGTTTTAATTTTTCAGTATGAAAGAGGGAAAATCTTTCCTGATTTGTTCTACATGTATAATTTTGCAATCTGTTTGACCATTGGCAGGGTAATTGTGCTTTTCAGTTGCCACCTAAATTTAGAACTAGATTATACAGTATTTTCAGGAAATATTAATGGTCATTAAACTATCTTAGATTTAATTTGACCTAATGTTTATCTTCATTTTCATTTCTCTAAGGCCCTATTGAATTTGAAGAATGTAACACGTCCAGTGCAGTTGAAGGTGAGTTGTTATAGCATAGTTATTTATTTAAGAATACTGTGGACCTGAAACTGCAGAATGAAGTGTATTCAGTGTCTGAATCTGTATGACTTCAGAGTGCTCCAGTAGTCTGAAAAGCAGTTTTCTTTTTGAGAAACAATGAAAATAGGAGCTACAATACTTTATAAGCCTAATGCACAAAGTTCAGAGAATTTTAATGTTTCTTATAAATATACTTTGGCTAAGACTCTGTCTTTGCAAGTCTTTGGATTTGGTTCACTTGTGACTGTGTTGTAACTTAATTTACAAGTGTCAAAACATGACCCAGGCTTTTTCCATTGCTACCATGTTAGTTAGTTAGTCTAATGCAGTGTTATGGTCACAATGCCTTGCTTTGTTGGTGTAGCTTATTTTGCTTAGGAGATTGTTTTAGGTAGTTTAGAACTGCTTTATTTGCATAAGCTATGTATGTACTTTTGGGATAGAGGACCTGAGAGTATAGCTATAGCAGCTGACAACTTTTAAGTTGCCAAGAGTTCATCTGAGACTTGAAGTCTTTTGAAGCAGAGAGGATCCACGTTCAGAAACTACTCTCATGCTCCACTTGTCATTGTTCTGGGCTGAATAAGGCACAGAAACCGGCATTTAAAAATAATTTTCGAGCAATTTTTGCTCTATTAAAATATAAGTTATGGATGAGTTATAGCTACCTGATTTGAGAAGTTTTGATTTATTTAACCCTGGATATTTCTAAGAGTGGAGAGATTCCTTATGTGCTGTGTAATGTGTTTTCTGTAAAGGGGAACGTAATGATTTTTTTAATGATGTGCTTGATTTGTCAGTTGTTAAACGTTGAAAACCAAATTATTTCCACCATTTTGCTCAAAAGCATGCTGTCAGTAATATCTTACATCAAAACAGAATTGTAGAGCAGTTAGATCAGATGCTTGCACTTAGTCATTTCTTTTTGGCAGTCTACTGGGGAGAGAAAAAAATTTGGGAGAGATGCAGACATGACAGCAAATGTGAAGGAATATTTAAATGTAATTTAATTTTAGTGTATTAAATGGGTATGAAAGCAATTTCCGCCCCCCCCCCTCCCCCCCCGTACTATAGCTATATGCATCCAGTGCTAAAAATGGGGAAGAAACAACAGACAGAGGCATGGTCCCACACAGTGAGAGCCAGCGTTAGAGCTGGCTACAGCACTGGAAAATCGTGTAGCCAGGAGACATTACCTTTTTTCACAGGACCAAGATCCTACTTATTAGGAGAGACTGGGACTTGCAGCTACTGGGAACATGCAGGGAAATAAGAACAGGATGTTGAACTGCAGTAGCTGAGAGAGCTAGGGTTCAGTTTCTGATCCAAGTGCATTGGCTATTTAGGATCAGCCAGAGCAATAGCTCCTGTTGAGTTTCTGTGAGCAGAGCCCCTTTCCTCAAAACTGGCAGTACACCAGTTTTCTATTTAAAAAATGAAATTCTGCATACCCAGCTTAGAGAGTTAGATGTGCAATATAAATCAGTTTTATAAGAACTTATGTTATTAATGTGTTGAGCCATATTTTAATTCCATTTTTTCATTGGTGTGTTACTAAACAATAAACTGGAGTAATATTCCCTTAGTATGGCTCCATATCTATCTCCACTGTTAGATTTTTATATCACTCATGGAAGCATTTAAAACATAGTGGCATTGGTATCATCAGTGTCTGACATTGCTAAATATATATTTATTTCTTTGATCTTTAAATGCGAAGTGTTTGTTCCATAGGGATAAAACCACGGAAGAGGAAGCCTTTTGGTTTATCAGGGATAATGAAAAAAGAAAAAGATACTGAATCTACGTAAGTATATTTCCATCTTGAAGAGTTGTCTTGTGTGAAAACTAGTAAAAACATGGGGATAAACATTAGCTGATGTGTAACAAAAAATAGGTTTATAATAGAAATTTAAAGAAATCCTATGGATGTGAAAAAAAAACTATTTAAGATTTTTCTAACTGGATTTTAAGGAAATAGCATAAATGTATTCATAGTAGTCTGCTCATGTTTCATTCTTTCCTGTGCATAGGTGAAGTAGTTCTCCCTTGTTCTGCATTTGGACATTGTAGATAATGTGATTCTCATGTGTACTCCTAATGAAATAGCTCTGTAGCTGGAAAAAGGACTGAATACCTGTGTTTGCAGAACTGAAGCTTCAGTTGCTCTCTTATTAGAAAAATGTTTGTGTACAGTATTGAAAGACAGAAAAAACTTTGAATGTTTTTTCAGTACATCATGGGCACACTCATTTCTGAAAGACCATAATTCTAACTCATGACTGATGTCCCAGCTATAACCTTTGTCATATTAATTTCACATGCTCTGTCTCCAAGGAGTTAAAACTCTCCAGAAAGTGACTTTGAATAAAAGTTCTTACATGGATTGGTAGCAGTATGCATATTAGTAGTTATGGTCACTATATTCCAATATATTTTTTTCATAATTTCTAGATGTGTTTTCTCAATAGCAGTATCAACAGAAAATAGCTTTACAGTTTGACAAACTTACCAAGGCAGAAATATTCTCAGAAGCGACACCTGCATACATACTTTTCAAATTTACTTTAAAAGAATTGTTATAAGCCTTAATTTTTAATATAATGACCGAAGATCTGCAGGTTGCACTTCCAGAGTGCCTTGTAGCTATTCTTCTTTTGCTGTTTGATTTTAATAGTGATACACTTATAAACCATGCTTTTTCTTCTCTCTGTCATGATGCCTTTAGGGCTCCATGGTATTGTTTTTTAAAAATCACTCCTTGGTATTTCTGTTCTCCTCTGTACTTTATGAAGCTGAAGTAAATGGTGAGAGAAGTGTTACTTATAGTGTCATTTTGGTCAGCACTTATCTGAAAATGCTATTTTGTTACTTTTTTTTCTGATGAAGGTTTAGTTTAAAATAATTAAATTAAAATGTTATAAATTTTTTATTATATTAGTGTTTTAAACAGTTTTATTGTCCATTTTAAAACTAAACCATTCTTTCTGGAAAATTATTTACAATGCATTTTTTGTGATGCAAAACTGTTTTGATCACTTGCATTTTGTCTTGCATTTTCTTAATTGCAAAGCAGTGATTTTGATACTATTGAGTACTGTTGTATGATTGAATCCTGTAGCTGTCAGCTTTTCTTGTTTGTCAACAAAATTATTCTGCCACCATGTGGGTTATTATTCAAGCTAATCTCATGTCATGTATGTTATAAGCCTCCTTGCAAACCAGGCATCTCCTGCCATCCATTCTTCGACAGACAATTAAATGTAATCTGGCCCCAGCAAAGATTTATGGCTCCTAATACTAGTTTTTTGGAGCCAGTTAGGGCCTGGAAGCTCCAGATTAACTCTTCCCAGGTGTATGACTCAATGTATCCTTACTCAGAGATGATGTTTTTCTCTGACCTATAACAGAAAAAAAAATTTGTTAGTCGCTGAGGTCTGAGAACTGGCTTCTATACTATGAGAAACACTTTCTACATTTGCATGCTTATCCATTGTAGTATCCTAATACTTTTCTAGAAGCTGCTTTTTCCCAAAGGCATTTTATTTAACATTAAAGCATAATATAAGTGTTTCTTTCTAGAAGGAATTTTGTTTTTCATGGCACAAGGATGTCATCAGAAAATATAAATCAGTTCAGCTACTCTGAAATAGGAAAAGCATTTGCCTTCAACAAGTTCATCAGAAATTATATTATTTGAATTTTTTCTGTATATTCACATAATACAAAAATGAGTAGAATCCAAGGTCAGAAAGAAAGAAGTGTGACTGTATGATATTGACCTCCTATGTAACACATGCCATAGGCTTTTACAGAGATTCTTGCATTTATCCGTAACTTCTAAATTAACTAAAACATCACAAATAAATAACATACAAATCATTTTGTGCTTAAGTAAAATATTCTGAAAGTTATTTATGATCTCTTAAAGTTTACTGCTAGTCTAAATTTTATCTGATTTCATCTTTAGCTGATGATCCTGCTATAGACTGTACATGATAAAATTCTACCATCAGAAACTTCTCTGCACATAGAGGTCAAGTCCTTTCTTAATCTCTTGTTAAATTAGGCTGTAAACTTGTTTAGTTAATGTAGGGCATGGTTTCCACATCCAGAAAAACTCCCATGGTTTGTAGATTTCTCCATTTATCAATACAATTTTTAAAGTGTTGACATCTAAACTGGGTGTTGTGTCTGGTAATGGTTTTTTACACAGGAAAATACCATACACAGTGTATTTTATTAGATATTGCTATACAGGTTAGTCGAGGATTTACCTTCTTTTTCTAATCACTGCTTTGCATGATTTGGTTGTTTTCCTTTTTATGTACAATCCTTAAACTCCCTTACAGAATCCCCATTTGCTGAAATATGTTACCCCATAGTAGAAGCGTGACCTATTTATTTAATCTTAAAAGAAAGATCATGTGTCTAGTGATGTAAGAACACATCTGTCTAAAACCTGATGTCCTCATTTGCTACTTCACCAGCATTTGCAAACTATTGAGTTTCCCTCCCTGTCTTCAGAATGGATCCTGGGAGATGCTCCTCTGAATTATGCTAGATCTGCCATTACTTTGCAATCTATTAGCTCAGTAATTTTGAAAATCTTCATTATGGGCTGAATTGCTTTCATTGTTGTTTGTCTCATAGCTTTCATACTTTCTTGTTTTGTTTGAGTACAAATGCTTTTTAAAACTGGATTTCAGAAAAAGTTTGTTATATCTTTTAAAAGGAGTCTGATACTTTGTCTCTTTGAGCTGTAAAATAGCTTTAAAATAGCTCTTTCTGTTGCTATTAATTCAGTTTAGCCAGCAGAGGGAGATAAGATGTAAGTAAATGACAAACTTGGTTGCATATGTTTTCTTTCGTGTGGGGCCTTTCAGAGGAAATGGTATCCTTTATCTCACTGTCAATTCCTTAACGGGCTGTACTGAATTCAATTTTAATGCTTCCATGTTAGCAAGTTTTCATAAGACAATGTGTTTTCTGTTTTTAAAGACAATGTGTTTTTTGCATTTAACCTGTTTAGCCTTTCAGAGAAGATTATTTAGATTGCAATAAATTTGATTTTTTTCCCTTTTTTTTTTCCTGTAAGTGCATTTTTAGGATGTTCAGTTTGATTATATAAAAACACTGTTGTTCAGTTACACTGGTACTTACAGCTTTATTTATCAGCATGCAAATCAGAGAGGACTTGTATGCTACTCAAATATTCCCACATTCTGTAAATGTAATTGCTTCTACTTTTTGCAAACATCAGAGAGAATCAGTGTCATTCATTTTTTTAAACATTATGCTTAAATTGAAGTTCCAGTGGGAAAATATAGCACTTCTGAATAATGTGCATACAATCACAGCCTTTCTGATGATGACTTTTTTTTAATAAAGGTGCTTATTATTTTTTCTGGCTTCTCCTAGTGCTTGACTGCAACTATGCTTGACAAACACAAACTAAGAATGAAATTCGAAGAGAGGGAAGCTCTGAATTCCACAAAGAATATTCTTAATTTCTTTGGGAAGTGGTTATTGACCAAAATGTTTTGCAATTGTGTGTGGACTATTTCATTAGTATTGGTGACTTCTACCTGTTGTGACAGCAACTACAGAGACTTGACTCTTAAAGTATATTCATGCAGAATACAGCATGGTTCTCCTGGCTTCCCTTGAGTATTTTTATTTAAGTGTGGTTTTTTTCAATATGATGTATGTTTGGATTTTCAGCATTTGCTTTGAATTTGTCTTCTATGGTGTTTTGAGCATAAACTTACAGCTTTTATTTAAATCTCATTCAGTTGAATGTGGATTATTAATAGTGAAAATATTAATAGAGGTTCAGAGGTAAAAGTGTCAAATGCAATGTTTCAAATTAATTGAAAATATTAAAGAAAGTACCAGAACTGTATGAATAATAGGACTTGTGTATTTAATAATTGTACATTTTCTTTATTTTTTAATAGGGAGTGTCCAGATGCAGACTCAGTTGTAAGTAGACTTATTTGCAAAACAAATGCATATGCTAATATTGTCAACACCACAATCTGATGAAACTTCTCTACAGTCCTTGCAGTGCATTATTTAGAGAGTATTTAGTACTTTGGTAGGGTAGTTGAAGGGTTAATTTTGCTTAGTACACAATGTTTAGCAGGATATAAAAATATGCATTAGTAATACATTTATATTCCTTAAAAATTTTAGGTTTTAAACAAGGTGTTTTTACTGCAAGTAAAGTATTTGCTACTTTGTTTTTTAAGTTTAAATTTCTTGGCTAATAAATTCTAAGTAAGAAAAAAGTTACATTTATTTTATTGTGTATTATCATATTCCTTTGCTTACTGCTGTTTCTTCTGAAAGCCTCTCTAATACCAATGGTTTATCACTGACAATAGAGTATAGGAATATACTTTTTAAAATATGGCTTTAAATGCAGTATCTCTAGATGCACTCTTTAAATATCTGTTTTCATTCCTGTCAGTTTGTTCTGTGATACGTCTTACAGTTTTATTGATTTAATTCAAGTAAGTGTCTATTGCAAATTAAATTGGTATGGTATTTTTTTTTTTCCTTAATTGAGCCTTTTCTTTTTCTTTAAACTGTATGCTGTCTTGAATTTTGTATTCAATGGAGACTGCAGCTCCCTGTAGCTGTAGTAGGGAATTATTACAGACTAATTGAAGTGGTGTTCTGATTTGGTTTTCAGTTCATTTAATTAGGTGCCAATTATAATAAACAACTTAAGTTTCCAAGTTCACCTATTTTGTGGATTTTCTTCTTTGCATTTAATATCTGGGAGCTTTAGTACCTAATATTAAAATTTCTTTTGAGAAACTTGGTTTTAAAATATCTAGTGGAATCATTCTTCTGAATAATGAAGAGTAAATTTTGCCACATAATAAAAGTCTATGTGCAAGAGCTTTGTAAGCATTATGGAGACAGTTGTTTCATCCTGTGCAAAGTCATCTTGATTTAGAGCACATTTCTTTTCTTGGGTACATTTAAAGTAAAGTAACTTTAGAATTATCCCTATAATTATCAGACTTTTCATGGAAATACTATCTTCTGACAGTTCAAGTTGAGTCACTGGAGTGAATCACAACTGGGTTTGGCTTACAATGTGTATTTTATTCTTTGCTTATTTTGGTCTCTACATTTTTTAAAAATAATTACTTCAAAAAGTTAAACTGTAAATGTGTCTTGACATTCTTTCTGGCTGCATGAGTCACACCATATGATCATCTAATTGTTCTGTCTACATGTTATTTATATTTGATTAACAAAAAGACCTAACTTTCATAGTGTCTATTTTCTTTGTATTCACTTTTTTTTTTATGCACAACATTTTATGATTGCATTTGGAATTTCGAATTTGAAATTTGGTCTATCATTTATTCCTGCTTTTTACAAGCAACACTATTATTCTGAATGGTAGAATGCTTTAATAGCAGATACCGTTAATGTCTTTCTCATGACAAATAATGCAGTATACCATAGATGAGATTCATTTTACTCCTAAAAATAAGCACCCCAAAGTGCTTTTACATTTTAAGGTTGGTGTCCTTTCCTGGAAGGTCCCATTTCAAATGTTTTTCATTTTTCTTGTCTTTTACTTTAAGATTTTCTTTCTGTTTCATTTTTCAAGCTTGATCTATATACTTATAGCCATCTGTATTTTTATCCCTGTAAGGATTTGTTTTGTATGGATCTTTGCAGTAAGTTACACATATCAAGAAATTGGTCTTTGAAAAGTATCATTGCAAGGAAAAAAAAATTGAAAGCAGTTATAATTTGTGTTTGATTGCTAGGAAATACTGAGGACCAGTGCTCAGGAAACTGAACTTATTTAATATGTCCCAATTTTATCACTCACAGAAAATCTCTGGCTTTTATATTATTAATGTGATCTTTTTTTTAAAGTTAGCGTTTAAAAAAATATTTATCAAGAATTTCAATTGTGTGAAAAGAATGTAAGAGAAAACCACTCTACAATTATTTATAACTATAAGCACTGAGGTAAATATATTGAAATTTTAGAAGTTAAGGATTCAGTAAGAACTGACTCCAATATTTTATCTAACAGTTGTATGTGATACTGTCGATCTTTGAACATATAGTGTGTAGTCAGTACCGTCAGGGGATTCTCACTAGTTCAAAATGTATAAGGCAGTGTGTTCAAACTTGCATTCACTGTTTACAGAAAACAAAACAGTGACATGTTCCTAAAAATGCCTTTTATACCAAAACAGAAGTTCTCAAATTTATCAGTGGCAAGCCAACTGCTTATGCTTATCATTTTTGTGGCTGCCAGTTGGAAAATATAGTTCTGATGCATTTGAATAAATTGTTAATTCCTATCAAGAATTTTTTGTAACTGCTCTAACAGGTTTTTATGAGCTCATGAGTAGAAGGCAGCTGTGAACTGAGAACATATTTGTTAAAAAGGTTGACCACTTCTAATAAGTAGTCTGTTTAAATATGGATTACAGTATGTCATAAGGTTTAAAAATCCCTGAGTTGTTTTATGTCAGTGTACACATTTAACTTCCATTAAGCTATGCCTTGATTTTTACGAAAGGTAGAGAGTTAACTGCATGTACACTAGAAAGCGGTAACAACTGAAGTCTGGCTCTGTTTGTGTTTATTACCTAGGAAGTTTTTTCTAATGGCAGAACTAATTGTCTTGTTTCCCATGGGTTTGCCACATCTCTAGGGATGGTCTATAGGAAGATATGAACTCTAGTAGAAACTTTTCTTTTGAGCAAGCATTTACAAAGTTCTACTTGTGTTCAGTAATACTGAATTTGAATTGCAACCCTTCCTCTGGTTGGGATACTTGCAGATCTCTTTCTTCTACTTGACTGCCTATTTTCATGAAGACTTTAGTAATGTAATTATCTTTGAGAGCTCTGTTCTGTCTGTCAGATCCATTTGAAATTGTCCAGTAAGTTCAAAAGTAATTAAGAAGGGGGCCACAGATGCACAGAACATAATGCTGAGCCTTTTTTTTTATAAGAAACTGAGATGCAAGCTAATATATCAAGGCATCAAAAACTTTTCATACCTCTTTACGTATGATGTAGCATAATTACCGTTGTATAGAATTATACACCATTTTTATTGTTGAGGACTGATCAAATTTGGAAGCATCAAATTCTGATTAGTGGAACCCAGGTGTAACATTCTATTTAGTGAAATTCATATGTTTTTCTTTATTTGCATTTTGTAATGTCTAGTTCTGGCGTATTTTTAATATTTGCCATTGATACAGAATATGAGGGTTTATAGTCACAGCACAAGACAGGGGCACTTTGAATGCCTGCTTTTCTTTCTTTCTGCATCTCTGGCAATGGAAGAAGCTGACTGGCTGCTCTTTTCTTCCATAACTTTTGGGTTAATAGGTACCCTAAGAAGATGAGGCTGATAACATGTAATACCTCTTTCTTAAGCTAAGGATATGCCTGAGTCAAAGTTACATCTCAAACTTATCAAAACTGGTGAGGCTTTTTTCTCTCTTGTTCCAGGCTATGAGCTTCAACTTCTTTCTTTGAGTTTGCTTTGGTCCTCATCTGGATTACTGGAAGTCAGTCCAGTTCAGTAAAATGGTAGAAAGTGAGGTGCTCAGCTGTGCTGTATCTTGAAGCGTAACCTGAGCAAAACTCAAGAAAGAGCTCTCATAACCACTGTAGATATCCCAGGAGAAAAGAAAATAGGCAGACATCAAGATGAAGTGTAGTGAAGGTTCTTTGCTTCTTGACCGATGACCAACCTATATGCAGTGCTAACACTGCTGAGGAATGGGAAAATGAAGTTGCTAGACTGCAGTATGTTCCAGATGTTCCTCTCTTGTCCTTTGTATGTAGCCCAGAGGAACTAATGACATAATAATGTGACTTGTTCCGTAGCTTTTGGATGACAGATGGGACAAAGCAAGGAAACTGAGCCAAAGTATTGACCAAAAAAACCCAAATTTTGGCAAGAGAATGTTCAGTCCTCATGCTTTTTGTATAGGCAGTTTTACTTCATTATTTATTATGACCTTATGTTTTGCTTCTTTAAAAAAATAATTCACCCTAGAAAGTTCATAGACTACGCTAATGCAAAGATAGAGTTACAAACCCTATATTTTCAATGTATATGTAAAATTATACAATACCTTTATTAGTAATGTGTTGTATTACGTCTGCAAACATGGAGGAAACTGGTTTTTCTAGCTATATGTTTAACTGCTTAACAGAATCTCTGAGAATGTGAAACCTTCTTCCAAGAAAGTCCGCTTTTCTAGTGACTTCCACAGAGTTCAAGTTACATCCATATTGAGCTTTTTTTTTTTTTACTGCAAAGTCTACAACTGCATATTTGGATAGAGGACTACTTCTTATTGAAACCAAGTGTTTGCAAGGATCTTCTTCCTTCATTGACACTCAAAAATCATGCATGTATATGTGAAGGTTATGGTTTCTTTTCTGTGATCATTGTGGTAGGCAAATCAGGTCTTGACTGTATTGTGCACCTGGTACTTAAAATACACACTGTCATCCATCACGTAACATACAGTTCTGTCATTGTACGAGTGTGGACAAGGGAGTAAGATTTAGTCAAGTAAATGTAAATGCCTTTATTAACATCAGACTTGTGAATATGTATCTTTCCCAAAGTGCTGTTAGAAAATTTAGATTAGTAAATAAAATTCTGATGTTTCAGAAACCAGAACCATTCACTGTTCAACTGTTCAAAATATTGAAAACATTATTTTGAAATTAGTACCTAACTTTAAGTAAGATTTTGAGGTACTGTTTTGCTTATATATGACACAATTTGTCTTTCTCAATACAAAGGTACATTAAGTATCTGTTCCATGATACTATTGGTTTACTCAGAAATAAATTATCAGTATCTCATTAATGAAAGCAAAAAGTATTTTAACAATAGCCATAAATTAGTAAAAGATCAATCTGAATAATTGATAAAGCTGGAAATACAAAGCAGACTATTTCTGACTCTGCATACAGTAATAGAGTGAGAAGTTTTCAATTACATATATAAGAATTTTAGAAGTAGAAACAAAAGGTACAAAAGTATGTTCTCTGAAAAGCATTAGAAAAAAAATAGTAATGTAGGCCCAAATAATTTTTGCTAAGTTCTTTCACAATTTTATACAAAAATAGTCAGGTTTGCCAGCAATGTTGTTCGTGGTGTGTGTGCCTAATAATAATATAATTTACATATATGGCCCAGCTGGAAGAAAAACTAAATGTTGTATATTTAAAGATTTTTGTTGTTTTTCAATTTATCTTAGCGATGAATGATTCTGATCTATTGAAAATTGCCTAGTATGACAAGTAAAATAATTAAAGAATTCAGAAGGTGTAGTATTATAAGAAAATGTACCTACCCTCTAGCTATATGTTTTTGTTCTGTTTATTTTGATGTCAAGTTCCATTAGTGTTTTTTGGTATATAAACAAGGTCAGCCTGAGGTCAAGCATAGCTAAGAACCCTGATTTGAGCAAGTGGAGCTAAGGTACTGGACCGTATGATCCTACTCTTATTACTTTTTCTTGTTCAGTTTTTTTTTTTTGTTTTTTTGGTTTTTTTTGTAAGATCTGGACTTCACCACTATTTGATTTAAAAGTTTTTAAAGAAATTGCATCTACGTGATCCATATCTTAAGGTTCAAGCTTAAAGATTACTGTTTTGCTTTACTTTGATGTGCTGTTTAGTACAGTATTAGATCACTTATACAGGATTGCATATCTTACTCTTTTTAGCAGAAAGCTTTATCTATTTTTAAAGTCATTCAGTTTAGTTCAGAAGTGCTATAGAGAGCTGTACAGAGGAGAATCTATCTTAGTAAAATATCAGACATCCCATTTGTGATATCTGTAAAATAGAGGGACAACTACATTTTTATGTTTATCTTCCTCTGTAATTCAGAACCTATTCAAGATGAATGTCTCTTTAAATTTGGCTTCAAATTTTAGGTAAAGTCAAGTGGTTTTTTGCTAGTCCACTTGAAGTCTCCAGTATAAGTAATTTTATTCTATCTTGTGACTTATATCAGCAAGGTGTCTTTTGGCAAAACTGTATATATCTCTATTATACAAAGATATACTATATCTCTGTCCCAAAGCTTTTTTATGAAACTGTTCAGCTAAGCACTCTAAATTATTTTGACATAATTCTCTTCAGTTTCTATTTAATTGCCTGCAAGAACTGAAAAATGTACCTAGTGTGAAGCTCCCAGATGCTTATTAGCTTTGAAAATCCAGGAAGGAGCTGGAGATATGTAAATTAAAAACTTGGAACCTGATCTTGAGCACTTCGATTTGCCTTTTAATTAATGTAGGTATATTTTCCTAATGCAGCAGTACAGGCTTGTAGCCTTTTCAGGGTGGGGAGAGGAAGTTGCAACCTGTGTAACCTGGAATGCTTTTACTCACATATTCAAGTATTGACTGGTACTTTGGAAAGGTTTTCCTCCTGCGCAATCAAAACCTCCAGTGACTAAGCTGAGAGAATTAGGAGTAGAAATTGGGAAAGTATCTGGGGCTGTGAGAATTGTAGGCTTATTTGATACTCAGTAGTAAAGCCAAAGTGCTTCTGTGCGCTCCTGACTTTTTTGATAGAGTACCATTAATCATTGGAAATTTGGAGGTTATTGTGTTCCCAAGGTATCTTGACTGTCACTACTATTAAACTACAGTGCATAATTTAACATAACTATAATAATTAATGGTGAAAAACAGTAGTTTTCATGAACTGTTGTAATCAAATTTTTATTTGTTAATTATATAAAATTCAGTCTGATATAAGAACAACGTATTTTTTTAGTTATGTGTCAGTGTCATATTTTTTATATTGTTTTTAGAACATTCCTGATGTAGATGACGAAGGATACAGCATTAAACCGGAAGCAACACAGGATATCCTTTTCACTATTAATGTGACATGTTATTTCATGTTATTACTGTTCTTTGGAGAGAGGAAGTACTGATTAAAGTGTTAAGTAAAGGAAGATGAATGATATTCATGCTTATGTTGAAACTTTATATTCTTATGTTCAGAGTTTTTTGCAGAATGTTCAAAATTTTATCTATCTTATATTTTTTTGTCTGTCCAAATGTTAAAGATTAGATCAGATGTCTTGGACATTAAGAGGAATTTTTTTATCTGACAGTAAAAAACCCAAACAAACAAACAGAAAAACCCCAACCCCACACAAAATAAAACCAAAAAAGCCTGAACAAAAGCTTTAAGGTGATCACACAGATCTTTCTCCTTGAGAAACTTTCACAGAGATTGTAAAGTAAAGTTTGTAAACTTTTTTAATCATACAAAGTGGTTATCTGTTCTATACCTGCACCCTCCCACTTTTTTATAACACTGTTTAAAAGACTGGAAGCTCCAGCACCCTAGAAATAGAATTTCTGTTACTAAATGAAATCACCACATGCTGGTTCTGATTGGTGCTTCTAGCTTTTATTGTCTTTTTAATAATAGCTTTGATGTGCAGAGAAGATCTTTGTTGTTGTTTTTACTTTACATGTACATATGAAATGGAAGAGGAGTGAATAACATTCATGCTTTGTAAATTATTCACCTGGGCATCCTTTTCTCCATTATCCTTTTTGTTGTGAAACAGTAAAGAAGACCATACAGCCAGTGAAAAATCACAGTTATTTGCAGTCTCTGACAGCCACATAGTACTTGAGCTTCTGAAAATCTTGACCAGATTCAGGAAGTGATCAGTTCCTTTCCTCTTTTCCTCCCTTAGCATCCAAGAGTGGATATTTATTCCATTGATGGGAACTCTTGAGATGATTTGTTGGAGGACATTACTTTACAATAACAGCAGTTAATCTTAATAAATCCGGTTTTAAGTGTTGGAAATGCACTTTACAAGAGCTGCCTGATGCATAGGAAATTAATCTTGAAACTTTAAAGGCAAGAGATCTTTTGATGAAATGAAAAACAACTTGTCTTTGAATTTTCTTTTCAAGATATGATCCATTTTGAGGGACAGACAGCCTGTAAGATGAAAACATTTGACTTTTTCCTCACTATCACTCAGGGATTCTTTCAGTTGAAATGTATTTGAAATTTTTTTAGGATTCAGAGGTTTAATCTTTGTCAAGGAATAGTTTGAAGATATTTCATTCAAATGGCTGGCATATTTCCAAGTGAAAAATAAGAGTAGCAAGGTGTAGAATGTGTATACTCCCCCCCAGTTGTTAAGAAACTTTTATATTCAAGTAGATGAAAATTTTAATTTTTTTTCTTGTCTAAACAAATGCATATTTTAAGACTTAACATAGTCCTTTCAGAGGTTTTGTTCAGTGCAGATCCTGTGCATATAAAGAACCAGTACTAAATTTCTCTGTATATTTTGCTTATTTTGAGGACTCAGTTGTTGTGATTTTTTTTTTTTCTGCAAAGGATGACAGTGCTTTAAGCAGTTTATTATGTTCCGTTTACTGTGCAGCCTTCTGTGTAATAGGCATCCTTTCTTGCAGAATATTCTGTGCTACTCTGCAAAAGGGGTAAGTAATGGTGTGTCATGGTTTAACCTGGCAGACATCTAAACATCTCAACTTCTTGTCACTGCCTGGTGGGATGGGGAAGAGAATCAGGAGAGTAAAAGTAAAAGAACTCATCAGTTGAGATAAAGACTTTTTAATAACTAGAACAACCCAAACTTAAAATAACAGTAATGCAAATTAATTGTGACAAGAATAGGAGCAATTATAATAAAGTTATCAAAGTTATACTCAGCTCACAAATAGCAAACAATGGCCATACACCAACGAAAACGTGACCGGAGGGGTAAGTGTCAGGAACCAAGGTGGGCTGCCATCATGAAGAATGGAAGGGATCAAAAGTGAATGAGAAGGGCTGAAGGGGTTGAAGGAGTTGTCCTCTGCTAGCTTCCCAATTTATATAGTGACCGTGATGCTTATGGGCTAGAATACATCTTTATTGGTCAGCTTGAATCATACCTGGATCATCTGTTGTGTGTCACCTGTCCCAGAGCGTTCACTGGGCTTTCATTTCCCCCACACCGCTGCTCTTGTGCAGAGAGAAGAAAAGGAAGAAAAAAAAAAACAAAAAACAAAAGAAACTGTAACCACAGGTGCAGTCAGATCCTTGAAAAACGTAAATATCTGCCAGTGAAAACAAACCAAATAACCTTATCAACTTCATAAGGAAAGCTTATAAAAGCTATAATGTCAGCTTGTGTTCATTTAAGCTCAAGCACTGCTTCGTCAAAAATCCGTCTCTGGCTGAAGCATTAAAACAGATGCTACAATTCAGTCCTAGCAAAACCAGGACGTGGTGGCTGCCACTGCTGCTGTGTCCTCTACTATTAATGCTTGGTACAGGTACCATGGGCATTTCACTGCTAATTAAAAAGGCTAGCAACTTTCTTCACTTGGTTTAAAAGGATTTGTCCATTTTTCATAAGTGTATTAGAATCCCTGGTTGAGTCTTAAAATCATAAACTTAACATGCAAAAGTGTTGCTCTCATAATATCTTTCATTCATCCAGATACCTTTAAATATTCATTTGTTATTCACAGTTATATGTTATATATTGCAGTTTTTCAGTTATATGGCATAGTGCCTTTTAGAACAGAGTATCATTATGAAGATGAATGATATATAAATACTATATTTTAATTCTGAGTTGTGAATTTTGGACAGTGGATATATTTCACGTGTCTATATATGCATATAAAGAGCTTAGGTGGCATTGTTTGTTTGTGGTATTTACTTAATGTGAGCATTTTGTAGAGAGTAATTATGAAATAGATTAAACAGATTAATTATTTCTACCTTAACTGAGAAAAACATACCAAAGAGAACGATTTCTGTTCATTCAGTGATTCCTCCTCTGAAGATGATGAACCCAGAAGGTTCCATATAGAAATAAAACCTGTCCAGCCAAATAATAGCTCTCAATATACCATGCCTTCCTTGGATGAATTAAAAGTATCAATAGGAAACATTACTCTTTCTCCAGCAATATCTGTAAGTTATTTTGTTCCTTGTATTTTAATACATAAAGGAGAAAGTGGTAAAGAATCATTAGTGTAAACAAATGTTTTACTACTCAGAATCTATTCTGGGTTCAAGTTTAATGATTCTTTTTTTTTTCTTGTACAGTAGGTCATTACTGTACAAGTACACTTTATTGCAGTGTAACATTAAGTAATTCTCCCTTCTTAGATTGTAACTTTCCTTCGAGTCTTGGGAGTGCTCAGTCCTTGCCTTTCTGCTGTTGCCACCACAAGACATTTGAATACATTGTGGAGTTAGCCAAGCATATCTTTTAACATAGTTTACTAATTAGAATTCAAAATATACAAAACTTTAAAAGAGGTGATATAATCTGGATACAGGTAACCTTTACCATGCAGCTTTATTGTGCATATTCTGCCAGTCCACAGAATGATCCTTTATACTGTGGGAAGATATTACAAATAAATAGTATTAAAGTATGCTAATACAATATTCAGATCAGGATAAGAATGGCTCTGATTTTAAGAAAAATATTGTGCATAACATATTAAAATAATAATAATAATTTTTCTCTTTCCCCCTCATTTTGAAAGCAGAGACACAGTCCTGTAAGTACAGAATTACTTTTTATTCACATTTTTAGATTAAAACCAAGGAAGTATAGTATTTGAGGTAGTTACTGAAAAACCTTAGGAATGTTTCTTTTCATATTACCATGTGATATATAAGCTGTTTAATTTTACTGCTCCAGCCCATGAAGGGATTTAGCAATGCTGCTCCATTTGTCAGCTCTATGGTGTCCATTCCTGCCTTTTCTTACTGGTGTGGTGGGTGTGCACTGACTGCTTTGTCCTGGCTCATGTTCTGATCTTCTGCAAGCTCAGAATATTTCACCTGTCATTGAAAGAAAAGTATCTTGTAGAAAGCTGAGTGGAAATAGCAGCCGTGGATGATTAAGCATTTTATTTGACAGTTGGTAAAATAATTTATTCCTTTTTTTTTCTTTCCTGTTTCAGGCACAAATGAATCGAAATTCATCCAGTAAGTGTCAGTCTTTAACTTTTAGTCTATTTTTCACATAGCATGAAAATAGATTTTTTTAAAATGTTGAAGAAATCAACTTCCTACATATATGTATTTTAAACAGAAATATTTTTTTGTCAGTTCTAGATATCCATATGCTATTTGCCTTTAAACTACTCACAGGAAATTCAAAGGACACAATTCAGTTTTTTGGTTAAAAATGCAGCTAAGTAGAAGCACTTGAAGTCCTCTTATTTTTCTCTACACTTGGCTGTTCCCTGTTCTGGGAAACATATGAGGCTGTCACAGTGATGAGGAACACATCCAAGAGCCAAAGGGGTGAACCTATGGAAGAGACTCCTGTGCAAGTTCTTAAAGCCCTTCCACTTGCTCAAGTTTATTATGATCCACAAACCAGCAAAACACACTCTCTCTGTTATAAAGTCAAACACGTGAAATGTGGCCATGGAGATAAAGGACAGAACATTAGTCTCTGTCCTGTGGGTTTTTTTTTTAGTGGGAAATCAAACCAGATTTGCTAAAGAGTATATTGATGTAAACAGTATAATTTAAGGAGGACATTTCAAGTGAACAGCACTTTCTCCCGAATTGCTCTGTGTAATCCTCTCCTATTAGAAGGTATTTCAAGAGTATCTGGATTTATATTGTCAGAAATAATGCGTTTTCCTTTTCCTTTTTAATAATTAATAATTCATTTCAAATTGCAGCTGTTAATATTTACTCTCTTTTTATAATGAAGCTGAAATTTTTATTTTAGAGTGCCACCGCTTTGGTGATAATACTGTGTCTTTTGCTTAGGTGAAGAGTTAACAAAATCTAGACTTCCTGCTCCAACTAATGAGTAAGTTCTAATTTAAAATTAAGACAAATTGAGTTTTGTGAGAATTTGGTCTTATTTTAATCTAGTAGTCAGAAACTCATTGGAAATATCAGATGACTGCTATTTTAAGTCAAGCATCTTTTGCACCATAAGAGTTAAGGAGTAATTATGTTAAAATGGAGATTTCTATTTGTTTTCTCCTAATTAATTTGCTTCAATGTGATATGTGTCAATTGATATTTATGTGATTACAAAATACTGGTTTTTATTAAAAGCTCAGATTTTAAGTAAGATGGGTTTAGCTTCTATTATATAGTGTTCTATTGTGAAGTTGTTTAAGATTACAAGCCCCACATTTGGACAAGCCTATATACATTGTTCATATATACTGAAACAAATGGATTTGAAGATGTATGTCTCCTTGAAAATGACTCTCGTTAAACTGACATGTTGAAGTATGTCCGTATGTCCACACACAGACTTGCACCAAGGTATCAGTTCAGATAGTCTCCTTATGTGTAAATCAGCTCCTCAACCTGCAATTTGTAAGTATGTTTCTTTTCAGGTGCAAAGACTAACTAATAAAGAAGAATTTATCAAATTTATATATCATATTATTATATTGATTATATTATCAAACTACTAACCAAGTTGTAGTTTTATTTTTATGAGTATATACATCTTTCATTTATATTCCAATTATAACTCTTAACTATAGAAAGGGGAACAGTGACCTCTTGGCATGGGATCCACTCTTCAACAGTTCTCTTGAATCTTCCTCTTCAGCTTCCTTGGCATCCTCATGCTCTTCAGGTAAAATATTTGATAGTAGAAAATGTTTTTTCTATATACTTTAGGATGTTCTCTTATTGCTTTTTTAGTTATTGGAAGAGGAAGTGCTTTGACTATTGAAATGTAGGAATTCTGTAAAGCAGTGTGCTGTCTCATTTGTAATACATATCTGAGGGTGCAGTATGTCAGGCTTTCAAGCTGGTGAGCGAGAGGGAAGAGGGAACACTGGAAACCTTAGGAAAGTTCTATCTTGCTTCTGGCTTTTTTTAATCACCTTCCCTCACTTTCCAAAAAAATTATCACCATCTAGAATATTATCGTGTTTTTTCAGCTGATAGGGCTGGGAGATTAAATGGAAGTTGTTACAGCAACTGTGAGACAAACTGAGCTTGGATTCTGAATAGGCATGGATTTCTTCCTTCCAGGAAAGTCCGCTGAGCTGTGTTGTACAAAGGCATCATGGAGCTTTGCTGTGAGGAGCTTGTTTCCTGTAGGAAAACATGATTCTCTTAGGACATGCACAGGCATAATCCAAAGGGAACCAGATAAAAATGGCAGGACCAAGACTAGAATTAAGGGAGAGTTACTGGCACTGCCTCAGAGCAGGGTTACTGGGAGGAAAAGGGTAGGGCTGAGGAATATGGGTGGTAGAGGGGGAGAGCAGATGTTGCAGGAGTATTTTGGGGTGCAGGATTTTAGAGAATATTAGTGTGGGCAGGACACTGGCAGACTTTCCTGAAACTTGGTCTTTGCAGGAAAAAAAAGGCAATGTTGATTGTTACATTCAAAAGGCCATGAAGGAGAGGCAAAGTAGCATGAGTGGGTATGTGTGTGGAAGAGGCTGAGAGCAGAAGTTGTTGAGAAGCTAATTCAGAAAGAGGAAAGAGAGACTGAAACAAAACCAGATTATGACTGTGTTAGCACCTACTTACTGAAAGTATTTATTTAAATTATTTATTATTTATGTTTATTATTTCAGGGGATTTAAAGCAGAATCTACTGTTTACTAACAGTAGCAGATATGCTGTTTGCATAGTTCTTTTCAATCTACCTTCTGCATATCTATTTTCCAACCCATGCTGTCTTAATGTAGAGAATCTTCTCCCACGTGCCTAAAAAAGGAAGAGTTCACTGTTTCTTTTAGCTAGGTATTCATATTTCAAAAATTATAACAGATCTCACTTCTTTGCTCACAGTCATGTCTTTCTAGCTGTTTTTCCCTGTTCTTGATTATACAGATTGAAGAACAGTAAGGAAGAGGACATGTATCAGTAGGGGAATTCTGCACAACTTGTGTTAATTATTCTTGGCCTTAGTAATGTCCTTTTAGCAGCAACCAGCATTGCTATGTAACCCTTGGGGTTTTAAGTGGAACTTACTCTTTCACTACAAATTCATGTTCCTTAAAAGTTATGATTTTTAACAAATTACTTATGGAAATCATTAGATTGTATCTTCCTCACGTAGGTAACCAGTCAAGATTATGGCTAGTGGATCCAAATTTGTAAGATATTTAAGAATAA